CTTGTGCTTTGCTAAGCTTGTTCTAAGTAGATGTTTTAGACCACTGAGCCATCTCACCAGCCCCCTCCCTGCCTTTTAAGAGTAACAGAAAATAGCTTTGACTCCTCTTTTTTTTTTTTTTTTTTTGGTGACTCAGGCTTCCTGAAGGGCAGGTCTGGTAAGGGAGGTGGAGCTGGGGATCCCACCACAGTATCCAGCTCCTGACTGCCTTTGCATGAGCAGGCGCTTAAACAACTTGAGCTAAGGGCAGGGCCCTTTGTTTTCTTATGAATATTTTTTTGTTTAATTTTTATTTATTTGTGGGGGCAGCTCAGCCCACCAGGGGGCGGGGCTGGCTGGCATGTGATGCTGGGGGATTGAACCACGGTCCCTGTGCTTTGCTAAGCTTGTTCTAAGTAGATGCTTTAGACCACTGAGCCATCTCACCAGCCCATGAATAGTTTTTATCGGTGTTTTCATTTGAGAGGAAATATTTTGTCAGAGGTTCTATGAATTAACTCTGGAGAGCATGCTGAGTGGTCTAGTGCACATGGTTGCTGCTCAATAACAAAACTGTACCTCTTTCCTCAGTCCAAACTGGTCCTGATCCTTTCCAGATTATTGTTTCTTTGAGCTCCTTTAGATGAGATCCCCTGGCTGGGCCTGGTGGGGTAATACCATTACTTGGGAAGCTGAGGCAGGAGCTTTGCTCAGAGTTTGAAGCCAACCTGGGTTACAAAGTGAGTTTAAGGCCAGCCTAAAATGCATAACAAAACCTGTCTTAAAAAACGACTGAAAAAAAAAAGAGAAATGAAACTAGAACTTTGGGACACTTGGAGTTAAAGACTTTTTCAGAGATAGACTGAAGTCAAACCTTCTTTGCTTTTTTTTGTTTTGTTCTGTTTTTGTTTTTTGTGCAAGGTCTCACTACATAGCTCTGATTCATAATGATCCTCCTGATTTCTGCCTCCCTAGTGCTGGGATTACAGGCGTGTGCCACCACGCCCAGACTGCTTCTTTGCTTTTTTCACATTTCTAGAGGTTCAGAACTTTATTACAAGGTCAAGATCTCTGTTCCTTGCTAGAATGTTTTCCCAACTCAGGAATTTTCCATCATTCTTAAATCCCTATTATATAATTGAGTATTAAAAAAGTACCGTGGATTCCATTTGTTATTTGATGGAGATAATAGCTTCTAAGTTCCCATGACCATGTTAAATGTAGTTACCAGGAGTGAGAGTTCCATAGAGAGCCTTATATATTCTTCTCCTTCCTTCATCTGCAAGGATGCTACACAGCTTTGCACTTGGTGCAATATGTACCAAGTACACTGGGCAGGTAAGTGGTGTATGCAAATGTTGATGCCTACAGGGTGAAGGAATGATTTTTCTCAGTAGCTTTTGTAATTCCTGTTTGCCTTTAGAATCTCTTCCAGTAATAGCAGCTCCATCCATGTGGACCCGCCCCCAGATCAAAGACTTTAAAGAGAAGATTCGGCAGGATGCCGATTCTGTGATTACAGTGGGCCGAGGAGAAGTGGTCACTGTTCGAGTCCCCACCCATGAAGAAGGATCTTACCTCTTTTGGGAATTTGCTACAGACAATTATGACATTGGGTTTGGGGTGTACTTTGAATGGACAGATTCTCCAAACACTGCTGTGAGTGTACATGTCAGCGAGTCCAGTGATGATGACGAAGAAGAGGAAGGTAGAACCATTGATCTGTGTTTGGGAACTATTGGGTTGTATGTTGGCAAAAGTGGTACATAGTGAAAATGTTAGCCAGCTATGGAGCAATCTTTTCTTTTTTTTTTTTTTTGCGGAACCAGGGATTGAACTCAGGCCCTTGCACTTGCCAGGCAAGCGCTTATTCTACTGAGCCATCTCCCTGGCCCCAATCTTTTCCTTTTTTTATTTAGTACAGAGTCTACAGGGTCTAACTACACAGATTAGACTCATAGTGATCCTCCCCGAGTACTGGGATTACTGGCATGCCCCACCACGCCCAGTCTTAGTCTCTGTCTCAGCGTGCCCTAGGGCAGGGCTGGTACTACACACCAGGGAACAACCTTCATTAGGCAACTGTTATTTTCATGTTGCATGGACAAAATAACACCCACAAGTTAAAAGAAATAGAGATTGTTGTTAGCTCACAGTTTGTAGAGGTTTCAGTCTGTTGCCATCTGGCTCCAAAGTAGGGAGGCATGCCAGGTGGCTTCAGCCTTGGCAGAGGACAAATGGTCCATGGCAGGACAGGCTGGAAGCAGTGAATGCTTAAGGAGGAAGGGAGCTACAACACAGCACCCTCCAAATGCCCACTCTTTCCCACCAGGCTTCACCTCCCAGCATCACACCCTGCTGTAAACCTATTAGTATCACACACCCATGATTCAGTAACCTCCCAAAAGCCCCATCAAGAGTGCATGAGCCAGATTGCTTAGTAGACCAGATCTTGTGTCTCTGAAGTGTTGAGATTCCCTCATGTTTAAAGGAATATTTGTTAAGATAGCTTGAGTTTTCTTATAGGATCTTTTATTAAACTTTCCCCAGTAGTTTCAGATCCGCATGTCCTAGGCTTCTAGAAGTACGGTATACTGAAAACTTGACGCCAAGAGCTGCACGGGCTTGTTTTCCAAAGAAAAGGACTGTTTCAAGGGAGAGACAACTTCTAGGGATACCGCAGAGCTATTTCAAAAATTATTCGGAACAGGGCCTGTGAGTGGGAGTGCGTGCCCAGGTCACATTCTGCTAAGAGGTAATAAACACAGCTGAGTTTAAAAAAAAAAAAAAAAAAAAAGAGTGCATGAGGCTCTGGGAATACATCGAAATATGAGCCATAATAGCAGCTTTGGCTGAAAAGGTCAGCCTCCTTAGGGGGCCATGGTCTAAACACGAATCTTTCTAAATGCCAGGAAAGTCTGTTTGATAGTTTGCTATTTAATTGCTTTCATTTTTGTTATTGGTGGGTTGACTTTTAGCTTATTGAGACAAAGTCTTGCTGTTTAGTGCTTAAACTCATGATCCTCCTGTCTCAGCTTCCTGAGTGCTGAGATTTTGAGTGTATGCTAGCATATTTGGTCTATTTTACTGCACACCTCATCTATTTTTCTGGATATTGTTTTACTTTCAGCCTTATGTGTTAAAAAGTCATATGTAGACCCACCCTGGAAAAAAACTATTAGTATAATTTGGAGATAGAGGCTCACTGTATTATCTAGGCTGGTCTTGAGCTCCTGAGCTCAAACAGTCCTGTCTTGGCCTTCTGAGTAGCTGGGGCTACAGATGTACAGCACCATGCCTTGCTTGGAAAAAATTTAAAGGCACAAGTGAGGGTTTCCTGTCAATCCTTTACTTTAAATTTATGTTTCTAATACATTTTTAGGTCTTCACTCAAAAAGCTTTTATGTAAATTGAAAAACCACTATAACATCCTTCCTAAAATTTTTTAGTTGTTTTTCCCTAGAGTATAATTTTTATATAAATAATTAAAATCAGGTGTTTCTTTTTTTTTTAATTTTATTTATGTGTGTGTGTGTGTGTGTGTGTGTGTGTGTGTGGCCAGCTCAGCCCACCAGGGGCGGGGCTGACTGGCATGTGGTGCTGGGGATTGAACCGCGGTCCCTGTGCTTTGCTAAGCTTGTTATAAGTAGGTGCTTTAGACCACTGAGCCATCTCACCAGCCCAAATCAGGTGTTTCTTAAGGAGTCTAGGAAATAGGTTATAAAATGTGTTGTTTAGGGGCCAGGGAGATGGCTCAGTGGAATAACCGCTTCCCTGGCAAGCACAGGGCCTGAGTTCAATCCCCGGTTCCACAAAAAAAAAAAAATGTGTTGTTTATTGAAAAAATGTTCTTTGATTCTATGGATGAGAAAGTGAGAATTGGAGCTATATTTATGCCTTGTAAGCACTCACTTGGAATGTAGTATGGGAAGAGGCCTAGCCCCAGAATGGGAAAACACCATGTCTCCTTCCTCAGGACTAAGTGGCTTTCCCATGACATGATGACAGATTGTTATTGAAGGGGGCTAGGGTAAATTCATTTTTTGTTTTTATTTTTTATTTGTGCAGTACCAGAGATTGAACTCAGGACCCTGCGCTTGCCAGGCAAGCACTTATTCTACTGAGGTGTCTCCCCAGGCCCTAGGGTAAATTTAAGGAGATGCTTTTTCTTTTTGGAGTTTTTGAGACAGGGTCTAGCTTTGAACTTACAGCAATCCTCCTGCCTTGGCCTCCCAAGTGCTGAGATAACAGGCATGTGCACCATGCCCAGCTAAAGAAATACTCTTTTATTTATTTATTTTTTAATATTTATTTGATACAGGGTTTCACTACACAGCTTGGATGTGTAGTGGTCTTGTTTCAGCTTCTCCAGCACTGGGATTACAGGGCTATGCCACCATACCTGGTTTCAGTGGCCGCCATGGCATGTGGTACTGGGGATCGAACCCAGGTCCTTGTTGTTGCCAAGCAGGCATGCTTGGACTACTGAGCCATATCTCCAGCCCGAGATATTCTTGAAAGTACATGAATGAGTGTAAAAGATGAGTGAGCTCTCAAGATTGACAGATGTTAAATCGTATTATGCCACTTGGGGCCCTGGGGGCATGTACGGAAACACAGATAGCAGGTACACTATAAATATTTTCTTGAAATTAAATATTATACTTAGTTTAGCCTTGAGTCTTTTTATTTAGAGACAGGGTCATAGTGTAGGGTCCAGGTTGATGTGACACTCATGATCCTCCTGCCTGAGCTTTCTCAGTACCTCCCTGCCAAACCCTAAAACTTAATACTAACACTCAGGTTTTCACTTCAAAGACAGTTTTTGTCCTATACTGTTACCTTTATGGACTGTAAGTGTCTGGGGAGTTCCAGTAGCTTACATGGTGACTCACTCCAGAGGAGATGGAAGACTCATCACCCACAGGTCCACACTTTATCTGGGTATGCAGAAGCTGACCACCGGTGTTCCATGTCATTGTGTTTCTAGCACTCTATATTCCTAAATGCTACCAACATGGAAAACTGCTTCATCCCTCACAGCTCTCAAAGGTTCTTAGGGGGAAGGATGGTGAGAGGATGGAGAAAGAAAAGATAAAAGACAGAAAGCTGAAGTTAGGTGGAGCACTCCCTTTGTCTGGAAAAAAGGGAACTGCTTGATCACCATAGTGCCTTTATTTATACTCTCAAGGGTTGATGTCAATTTCAGTCCCTCTAGAAAGGCATTGTGGTGCCTGCCTGTAGGAAGGCTGAGAGGCAGAAGGATCATTGCAAGTTCGAGACATTGGGCAACAAAGTGAGCTCAAGACCAGCCTGAACTATACAGCAAGACCCTATCTAAAAGACAAAAAAAAAAAAAAAAAAAAATCAACTCCTCTGCCTTACAACTTTTTATTGGGAGCTGGAATAACTTGTTCACCTGACTCGCCTTGGCTTGCATTTGTCTTAACCTTGCACATGTGGTTATTCTGCAGCTTCAGCTGCTCCTCACAGAAAACACTGCCTACAAATTCTATCAGTGGAAAAGAAAAAAACACAAAAGTGAAAAGAAAAATAAATGAATGAATGAAGAGATGAGGAGCCCAGAGCCAAATGGCTGGCTAGGTGCTCAGCCGTACAGCACCTACCTGGCAATTTTGAGGTCCTGAGTTTGATTGCTGGCATAGAAAAGAACAAAAGAAAACAACCAGCAAACCTGAGAGTTTTCTTGACTAGATATGGTGGCACACACTTACAATCACAGCACTTGAGAGGCTGAGGCAAGAGGATTGCTGTGAGTTCAAGGCCAGCCTGGGCTACAGAATGAGTTGAAGGTCAGCCTGAACTACATAGGGAGATTGTGTCTCAAAAAAAGCTCCCGCACAAAAAAGAAAAAAAAATTTCTGGATTAGTAGTGTCACTCAGTGGTAGAAATTGTGCTTTGCAATTCCATCCCTGGCATCACAAAACAAACCAAACAAAAATAGAAACACACATAACAGGCTCAGCAGTGGACATCTATAATCTTAGCTACTGAGGAGGCTGAGGCAGGAGGATCACAAAGTTGAGTGAGGCTAGCCTAGACAACTTAGCGAGACCTTGTCTCAAAATAAAAAAGGGCTGGGGGCCGGGGAGATGGCTCAGTGGAATAAGCGCTTCCTGGCAAGCGCAAGGGCCTGAGTTCAATCCCCGGTTCCACATACATACATACATACATACATACATACATACATACATACATACGGGCTGAAGATATAGCTCTGGGTTCAGTGCTCAGTATTGAGAGGTGAGACAAGCAGACAACAGTCCCCACGCCCCCCCCCAAAGGAACATACAGACACCTTCAGAAGTCAGTTGAGATAGTATATTTCGCCTGCTAGTCTGCTAGAGACCTTTTTGAAGAACTTTGCTTCCTAACCCCAACTTGCAGCCCTCAGCTGATGATAGCCTTTGAGTTATCCATATTGGAGATGTGCTATGAAAATAGATGCGGTGGAGTTTTAGAGGTGAGAATCTTTATGCCTTGGCTTTAAGTCAGTTGTACTGTGTCCCTCCCATGGAAGATGACCTGACCTACCCTATGCGTTTTTTTTTTTTTCTTTTTTCTTTTCTTTTTTTTTTGTACTGGAAATTGAACTCAGCAAGACCTTTTGCTTGCCAGGCAAGTGCCATGTCATTGAGCTATAACTCTCTCCCCCCTTATGCCATTCTTAATCTTAAAATGCTGTGCAACTAAAGCTAATCCATTTAAACCTCTGTATTAATAGGAATAGAATAAACTTCATGCTTCCAAATATTATTCCTGCAGGAGTGAATGCAACTGTATTCTGAGTTCATAGCTCCCAAATCTTGTTTGTAAGTTCTAAGGCATTGGGTCTTCTGCCGTAGGAGACTACTCTAGATAATGTGCATTTTATGGGACATCTCTGTGGCTTTCAGGTAGAGGAGAATCCCCCACCACCTTTTTTTTTTTTTTTTTTTTTTTTTTTTTTTGTGGAACTGGAAATTGAACTCAGACTCTTGCACTTGCCAAGGAAGTGTTTATTCCACTGAGCCATCTCCCAGGCCCCAGAATCCACTTTTTTATTTTGTTTTTGTGGTACTGATTAAACTCAGTGCCTTGATACTGAGCTATGCCCTCTGCTCCTTTTTATTATTTTGAGATAGAATCTTGCTACAGTCACTAAATTGTCCAAATTGGATTAAACTTAGATCCTCCTGCCTCAGTCTCTCAGTGCTCTGCAGCACAGTGCCTACCTGGCAAGTGCAAGGTCCTGAGTTCAATTTCTGGTACAAAACTAAAAAACCCGAGATTGGGTTTGCAAGGTAGAGGTATTTTTTTTTTTTCTAAGTTCATACCTTTATAGTTCAGAAAACCATTAACTTAAGCAGCCAGTAATTGGAGCTTTTTTTTTTTTTTTTTTTTTTGCCACTTGGAACATCTCTGGGTTTAGAAGGCCTAGTAGAATTATTGAGTCTTTGAATGCCTCTCTACTCTGGTTTTTAAAATTTTACTATTTAAGATATATAAAAAGTCATAGGCATCATATGCTACCTTTTCTCATTCCTAAAACAGAGGAGAGGAAGGGAGATGCATGTGGTAGAAGAGGAGATCAGAACAGTGTTTTAGGGGCCAGGGGGATGGCTCAATGGAATAAGCGCTTCCCTGGCAAGCGCAAGGGCCTGAGTTCAGTCCCTGGTTCTGCAAAAAAAAAAAAAAAAAAAAAATTAAAAAACAGTGTTTTGCTTGGTCTTCCTTTAATGAACAAGATACCTCCTCTTGGGAAGGAATTAGAGATTGAATGAGAATGGAAGAAGAAAATGGGGGTCCAGTACTATAAGTCAGTTCCTGGGCTCAGAACAGTATTTGCTACACAGCAGTGGCTATGTATGGATGTATGCACGTGTGGTATGTGCTCATATTCGTATCAATAATAGAATGCTGCAGGACAGTTCTTAGCAAAAGCAGTTGTTAAAGGAAGTTTCATTGCTCAATGCAAAGATGTTTTCTCTGGATCTGTTCTTTGACTTGTCTGTATTTCTTTTAGAAAACATCACTTGTGAAGAGAAAGCCAAAAAGAATGCCAATAAACCTCTGCTGGATGAGATTGTGCCTGTGTATCGACGGGACTGTCATGAGGAAGTGTATGCTGGAAGCCACCAATATCCAGGGAGAGGAGTCTACCTCCTCAAGTTTGACAACTCCTACTCTTTGTGGAGGTCCAAATCAGTCTACTACAGAGTCTATTATACTAGATAAAGTTGTTACTACATCTGGAATCTAGGGTTGGGCAGAAGATGGTGTTTAGTTTCTTTTGACTTGTGTGTGGAACATTGGAGTCAATGTTTACCTGAAAGATTTTGATCTGAAAGATTGTGAACTCTTGTTGGGAATTGGGATGTCCTTGAAAACTCTTTTTAGCGTTAATACTTTGGGGTTCAGGAGGATTCCTCAGACTCATCTAGCTTTGGGGTGCTGACCAGAAGCACTAGTGGATGCTAAAGTTCCATGAGTCCCCAAAACAAAACCTGCTGGTGTTGCCCTGCCTGGCCAAGGGGGAGGCCACTGCCTGCTCCCTGTGCTTTATTGGAGCCTGTAGTTCCGTGACCTCTGATTTGAAGTGCTTATGTGAATAGTCTGCATCAGCGGCTGGCTTTCATTGACGGTCACCATTATCACAGTTTAAAAAGTGAAGACCTCACAGAGTATAACAGAAAAAGAAACTGCTTCAATTTGATCTTGCTCTGAATGATGCAGGTTATTTTTATTTTGGGTACACCTGTTTATGTTTAGTTCAGTTATATTACAGAGAATTATTTTCTGAGATAAACTTAGACTATTCAGGCCCAGTAGATAGCTGAAGTGTCAGAATACAGAAAATGCCTGAGATACCCTTTTTTACAGCTCCTCAGGCCTTTTCTCTTCATTTGGTATTCATACCACTAGTCATAAAACAAAACCACCTAATTTTTGTTTTGATTTGGCTTTATAGAGCATCTCAAATTGAAACTTCTGCACAAAGCATACAGTTCAGGATTTTGTAAACTCAAACTGACACCTACTGAGTTAAAATATATAAAATTATTTAAAGATAATTCAGTGTTTGGGGAGTAACATTACATTAATGTGGAAATCACTGCCAGAAACAGTCCATTTTCTTTTCGTTTGTTAACTAAGGCATAAACCCTACATGATTCCAGTTGGAGTTATTACAGAATTGGAAATGCTTATACTCAAGCTTACATTTTATAGCTTTATTCTGTATTATGTCTTTAGTCATGGGAAGAGTTACATCTTTTTCTTACCAAAAACGAATATGGATTAATTGCTTCAGATTGGTGTAAGTGATAATTCTAGAGCTTTTTCTTTTCAGAAGGGAGGGTGGTATAGATAGAAAGTGACAACACTTAGTGACATTGTTATATGTTGTACTGAAAGACAAATTTTTAAAATTTGAAATCGTAAAACACTTCTTATAGGAGGGATTCCATTAGCTGCAGTATAGTTCACTACATACCAGCTATTTTGAGTTTTTTGTGTGCTGAATTTCTTTCTGTTTTTTTAGTATCTGGTTTTGTATGTATCTAACTTTGTTCTCTTTTTGTTCAGATAACTGGATTATTTTTCTCCTAAGCAGTGCTTAATTTGTGTTTTTAAATTTTGATTGTGAAGTAGTTCCCATACCCACACTGTTACATCCAGAACATTTATTAGCCTATACCACAGCACTCACATACATGTGGTATAGAAACCTCAGAGTTAGGCACTTCCTGGCTTTTTTTTCTTAATGAGAAGAATTCTGTATTTAAAATGTAAAATAAACTTTTAAAAAGCAGGCACTAACATATATTTCTTCTAGCCTTTGATTACAGATTTGTCCTTGCACATTTAAGGTGAACTGCCTTCAAAAAATATTGTTCTTGGGAGCAGTGTATGTTACTTTACATAGCAGTTTCTGTCACCTGTTAATGTCAGAACATTCTTGGTTTTAAACTTTTTTTATTGCCTTTGGCTGTTGATTAATACAGTACAAATGCAATTTAAAAAAATCTTGAAAGTAATATATTTAACCAATTAAAATGTTTATCTGTAAGTTGTTGATGTTTCATTAATGTAGTTATTTTCTGAGTCCCTAGTACAGCATATCATCATTTAGGTAGGATAAAAAGAATTGTTTTAAGTGATTTTTTGTGTTTGTATAGTTGAAAACAGTTTCTTACTGATTAGCTTGACTGAATAGATCAGAAGGTTTCCAGGCTCACTACAAAGGGTAGTACTGGCTTTTTTTTTTTTTTTTTTTTTTTTTTTTTTTTTTTTGCAGGAGTAGAGTTTTG